TCATCTCCCTCAGCTCCTCAGAGAACCAAGGAGCTAAGTGAGTTCGGTGCCGGGTCAGAGGCCGCAAAGGCACGACATGGTCCAAAGCCCCAGTGGCCGCACTATCCCAGGCAGCCACCAGGTCCTCAGCCGAGTCGTGTGCCAGAGTCTCAGGAAATGGCCCAAGCTCCATCTGGAACCTATCAGGATCCATCAGGCGCCTGGGGCAGAACCACCTCGTCGGTTCCGCCTCCCTGCAACGGGGTGCGGCGGTCAGAAAGTCAAGTCGAAGGAGCGAGTGGTCAGACCATGACAAGGGTTCAATGCCTATATCCCCTATATCAAGGCCACTCAACCACTGACCAGAGATAAAAACTAAGTCCAGAGTGTGTCCACCTATGTGAGTAGGGCCATGAATTACTTGAGTCAGGTCCATGGCCGTCATGGAAGCCATGAACTCCCGAGCTACCTCAGACGTTTCACCGATGGCAGGTTAAAATCCCCCATGACCAAAAGTCAACCGCCACCTCGGCTATGACGTTGAGGAGCTTGGGCAGGGTCGTTGCCACCTGGCAGGGAGCCAAGTACGTGACCAACAGACCCATCTGCACCCCACGACCCCACTTCACAAAAAGGGACTCACATCTGGCTATCTGAGGTACAGTGGCCTCCCTCGGATCAAGACTCACCTTTATAATAACCGCTACCCCCTGCCCTGAGCTCTCGGCTGATGAAATGCGCAGAAGCCTGGTGGGCACATATCCACAAGGGGAACCCCCCCTTCATGGCCCAACCAGGTCTCCGTAATGCCTGCCAGGTCCGCTCCCCCCTCCTGAAGGAGGTCACAAACGAGGGGGGCCTTATTTACTACGGACCTGGCATTGCATAACAGCAGCCGGAGACTCGGGCCCTGAGACTCTAAGCAACCTGGGGAACGGGAAGAGCTAAGGGGACCGGGGCATGCAATCGCTCGAAGATAGCGAGTGCATGTCCCCACCACACAATGCGGCCTCCTGCTCCCACCATATCTGCCCCTCCCACTCAGTGTATTAATAGAATAGTTGGAGTAGGATTCCTGTCCTATTACATGGGACAGAAAGTTGGGGAGACTCAAGCGTATGAATGCAAATCATCACCATCAAGCAAATGGACAGGACTCTTGGCATTTTCAGCACAACTACCTATTCTGCATATTACATACATTACATAGCATTGTCCTTCCTGGTTGGTTGATTTCACTCTGGAGGTGATATATGATTGGGTACAAATGATGGTAAATACATTCTTGAATGAAGGGGTAGGCCTACCTGACTTGAAGGAGGGGGTGATATATCCTTGCCACAAGACAATAGTGCAAGGTAACTTTTTTGAGTGGCAGCAGTAGTGCTAGGGCTGGAGTCAAGGGCTGGGCGTCTACTTCAGGTCCAGCTATGATGGTTGCTACTGAGTGCTGCTGTTTAGGGATGCGAGAGAGAATTGTTTCTCTTTTTTGGGGTGTATGTGTGATATGCTAGCAGAGTCAAGCTTGGCTTTTTTCAAATTTTTGATATATCATGACTAAAAAATTCGCCATCACTGGACTAGATGGATTAAAGTTCCTTCCAAATCTGTAAGTATGATTCTTCCCAACTAATAATGCTTTCAATCATAATTGACCTCAAGAGTAGTATATTAGATAATAGAAAGTACATTCTAAAACTGTAAAATTCTGAATAATTTAATTATTCTTATTAATTATTTATTTTGTTTTTTGCGTGAGTTTCAGCACCTGAAACAAGAATCAATTTTGATAATCTTTCTTTTCCTTTATTTACCTGGCAATAGCTTTGCTTGTCTTTCTCTCCTGTGCACTTCCTATATTTTCTTTCTAGCAAATAACAAACAAACAAACATCTCTAAACTTTTTTCACTCAGTCCCATATCATCATGCAGGAAAAAAGCATTGAAATAATTAATAATATGAATAGAATAGATTGTCCCAATGATATTGAACTGTTGACTAGAATGATTTTTTTAAAAACCATTGGAAGTCATTTAGTCTTTTTGGTCCATTCTCAAATAAGTGGTTTTATGCTGAACAATGAACAAGTTATTCTTCCAACCCTTAATTCTGCTCTGTCATAATCTGTATATGTGTCTATGTGTATCTGGAATTCTCAATGCTGAGTATTAGCCTACTTAATGAAGCAGTGGTGGTATTCAAAATGTTTTACTACCAGTTCTGTGAGTGTGGCTTGGTGGGTGTAGCATGGCTTGGTGGGTGTGGCAGGGGAAGGATACTATAAAATCTCCATTCCCACCCCACTCCAGGGGAAGGATACTGTAAAATCTCCATTTCCTCCCCACTCCAGGGGAAGATTACTGCAAAATCCCCATTTCCTCCCGATCAGCTGGGACTTAGGAGGCAGAGAATAGATGGAGGCAGGGCCAGTCAGAGGTGGTATTTACTGGTTCTCTGAACTACTCAAAATTTCCATTACCGGTTCTCCAGAACTGGTCAGAACCTGCTGAATACTACCTCTGTAATGAAGGCTTAATGTGAGTACTGAGGCCTCTAACGAATTCCTTTGATTGTTCTAAGCATCAACAATGTAACCTATGTACTGTATAAGAATTTGGTTGTTTTATCTGATCTTGAAAGATGTCAGGGATCTTCCATCTAACAAAGATATAACAAAATTCATTAAATATTACTTTCACTTCATATACTGTAGCTACAAGACATGCTATTACAAATATTGTATGGCTTTTATTTGTAGGAATCCATCTTGTGTGAATTTAATTAATTCTATTCCAAGCTGATTCATCTCATATATATAAAGATATATATTGTAAATTTATCTCATACACGCACATACACAGGTGTGCACGTGCACACACAAATACACATAGATAGACATAGTATGGGGGGAGGGGGAGAAAAATCCCATGCTACATAATTTGGTTTTTAGAAAAGAAAAAAACATCAACACACATGTAACCAATACACAGCTCAGTTGATCTGCAGAGATAAGAAATCAGGCCATAATATATATATAATGATTAGGCAAGAGGATTACAGAATAAAGGCATTTGCAGATGATCTGGTTGTTACCCTATCACAACCAATGGAATCAATAATCCTGATGAAGGACATTATACAAGACTATGGTAAAGTTTCAGGTTTTAGACTGAATCCAAAAAAGACTAAAATGATAGCTAAAAACATGACACAAGATCGTAAACATGAGCTTGAAAGAAGGGCAGGTTTTGAGACTGTACCTAAGGTAAAATATCTAGGAGTTCAGGTTGCAGAATCAAACATGAAATTGTTTCAAAATAACTATGAGGTGTTGTGGCGAGAGGTGCAGAAAGACATGGAGACTTGGAAAAAACTGCAGCTGTCTCTACTTGGAAGAATAGCGGCAGTTAAGATGAACATTTTGCCAAGATTTCTTTTTTTGTTTCAAATGATTCCGGTGCTTAAAAGCGATAAACAATTGAAAGTCTGGCAAACTGGACTCAATAAGTTTGTTTGGAACGAGAAAAAGCCGAGAGTGAAATTGAAAATTATGCAAGATGTTCCAGAAAGAGGAGGTCTTAAACTTCCAAACCTACAGTTATATTATGATGCAGCAGCTTTAACTTTAACAAGTGATTGGTTTGGAAGTAAAAAGTCTGGAATATTGAATGCAGAAAGTTTTGATCTTGAATTTGGATGGCATGCTTACTTATTTTATGATGACAAAGTTGATAAAGTATTTAAAAGTCATATACTTAGAGACTCTTTGATGAGAGTTTGGAAGAAGCATCGACTCAAATGGGATTATAAAATACCGCTATGGCTGGATCTTGGTCATACTTTGTGGAATACAAATATAATGTCACTCGGGGGGGTTTTATACAAAGAGGTTCTTTTTACAGATGCGGGCAGATGGCAGCTGAAGACATTGCAGACACTGTTGGACGAAGGGATTAATTTAACTTGGTTACAATATAATCAATTACAATTGAGATGGAAAGAGGACCAAAAAACTGGTATTATGTTGCACGAGGAAGAATTGGTTAGACATATAAGAGAGAAAGGTCCAATGCATATCAAAAGGCTTTATAATGTTTTGCTAGAAAGGGACTCAGAAACAGAATTAGTTAAAGACTGTATGATTAAGTGGGCACAAAATTTTGAAGAACCAGTGATGTTGGAAACATGGGAAAAAATTTGGGTTCAGAATGTTAAATTTACACAGTCGCAGAACCTGAGGGAAAATTTCTATAAAATGTTTTATAGATGGCATTTAGATCCCAAAAAGTTGTCATGTATGTACCCTAATGTTCAGCCAAAATGTTGGAGATGTGAATGTTTGGATGCTACGTATTATCATGTTTGGTGGACCTGTAGGAAAGTTAAGGCTTTTGGGATAAAAATTTGGTGGGTCATGCAGAATGTTTTGAAGAAAAAAATTCAATTTTCTCCACAACTGTTTTTATTGGGTATAGTTAAGGGTTTTACATTGGGTGAAACAAAATTGATATTGTATATGATAACAGCAGCAAGATTGTTGATAGGTAAATACTGGAAGAATGAAGCTTTGCCCACTATCGAGGAATGGACTTTGAAGATGGCCAGTTTTGCAGAGATGGCGAAGATTTCAGCATACTTAAAAGATTGTTCACAAGAGACTTATGAATGGGAATGGAAAAGGTGGATAGAATATGTTCAGAACAAATATCAAACTAGAAAGTATCAAATAGCTTTTATTTGAAAATAATGTATTAGAAATAGAAAAATTATACAGGGGAGGGAGGGGTTCAAGTTTACATATAAGTGTTATATTAAGGGTTTTTTTTCTTTTTTTTTCTTTTTTGTTGTGTTTTCTTTTTACCAGTTATGAGTATATTATAGGGAAGTCTGGGGGGAGGGGAGGGTTAGGGAGGTTGGGAAGTTTGGGGGGGGAGGTGGGGGGGGGAAAAAGGGGTGAAAATGTAATTGTAAAACTTTTGCAATAAAAAAAAGAAAAAGAAAAAGAAATCAGGCCAAGCCGAAAGGTTTTCACATTTTTTTATTGTAAAGCTTTGGGAGGGCTAATTACAGTGGTGTTTGTCATCTGACAGCTCAGCAAACCAACAGAATGGAAGAGAACAAAACGGGCTCACGAGGTGTCATGCTCACGGCTCCAAACAAAAAGGATTACAAAGGAATCAATTGTGCTCACAGTGCCAGGGGAGAGCCCTAGGCCCAAAGCTTTCCCAGTGCAAGGGATATGCATCACATTGAGAGCAATACAACCTTAGCAAGAGAGAAAGAGGCAGTACCTAAACAAATGGCACAATTCAAAAATAGTTGGGTACTCTTTACTCTGCTGTAGGATTTCTCCTTTAGAAAAAGCTACACCTGCATGTACATAAAACTGTACAAAAAAACAAGGCATCACAAGCAAGAACTGAAATCTCATATAAATAGAATCAACACGAAGAATTACATAGGGGTTGCTTTGTTCCATCTCACTCAACTGATCTGTGTCTGGTCTTGCACATTTGGTATTACCCCTGGCTTGTCCTAAAGTAATGCTGCTCAAAATTCTTCCCCTTGCCTTTGAATGCGCTTGTCTGGACCAGAACTCATGGAATCCTCTTTTTTCTAACCTTCTCCACCTCTTTTCCTAGGCATGCATTTCCTGGTTTGAAATGGTGAAGGTATCTTCTAATGGTATTTTGACCATTGGATTATCAACCAATTACACTCCTATGGCATTTTTGTTCAGTGGCAACTTTTGCGTTTCTTAAGACTATATTCCTCAAGACTATTTTCAATTACTACTGGTGTCATCTTCCCTTTTGCCTCACACAAAACACATTTTAAAGTCTTAGTTGAGTTTGGGAGGCCAGGTAATACTGCTTTTCAACCCCTTTACCTGAATAGCCAGTCTTTTTTATTTCATAACTCTGGAAAAACCAAAGGAAAAGAGATGAAGAGCTCTCCACATTCAGATTATCAGCCTTGGCTTATTACCAAAAAGCAACCTTATTTGTTCCAATGGGCCTATAGCAAGTATATCCAAATACCGAAGCAATTTTGGGATGAGGTCAGTTTTATAACTCCCATCTGCAAGGGATGGACTAAAAATTAGATTGCCTCCTGTTATATTTTGACTAAGTGAGTTCAAACCTATGGATAGGCCTAAAAGAGGATAATCTTACCTGAGCAACGCAGGTATTCCTTCATTAGTGATTTTGGCTCCCATCTATTCCTTTCATAGTGGGATAGAATAGTATAGTATAGTGTAGTGTAGAGTGGAGTGGAGTGGAGTGGAGTGGAGTGGAGTGGAGTGGAGTGGAGTGGAGTGGAAGGGAAGGGAAGGGCAGGGCAGGGCAGGGCAGGGCAGGGCAGGGCAGGGCAGGGCAGGGCGTAGCAGAACAGAACAGAATAGAATAGGAAAAGGAAAGACCTGTCCTTTCCATACAATATAATTACACTGGAAAGAATCTGAGTATGGTGGATGGCTGAAGCCCTCCTTGGACAGTCTTTGTTTATGCTTTTATTTATTTACCTCAATAACTATATTTACACATACAGTCCAGACAGATTTTTAACCAAGAATTGAGGCACAAGCCAAAGCAGTCTGGTTTGCTAAGCCATAATATGTGGATTCACATATCATATTAAGTTAAAAATCAACAAACTATTTCAGAACTTTTTCCTGTTTACATTACACATGATCACCCTAACCTTAGGCTCTTGATACAAGAGTGGATAGGAAGTGCTATATTCCTGTTCTCCATCCTATGGATTGCTGCTGAAATAGCCCTGAGCCTTAAAAAGTATAGGGGTAGAAGTCCTTGTTTTTTTATACACACTGGAAGTTGCTTGTGATCTCAAACCTGGGACTCAAGAATTCAGTCATCTAATCACCCATGGCATGTAGCAGTTTACTATATGAGTAGAGTCACTGGACTTCTCTTTGCAATGCTTCCCACTACCACTATATTTGGTCAGAAGGTGATCAGCAATCTGCTTAATAGAGGACAGAGAATACAGGGAGACACTAAAATTTCATATCCTAGAAATCATCTCTGATGATCAGAGGAAAATGAAAATTGCTTTATGTTGCTCCTACCAGTTTACTAGTTTGATAACCAACTTATATCCAAATGATCAGTCCTTTCAAACATGTACCCATATACCCACACAAACAATAGTTTTACAAAACATGTCATGTCTGTTTCCTTTCCTTCCTAGACACATGCAGTTGAGAAAGTTGAACAGAGGACTAGCAAAGAAGGGCAACATCCAGCCCACCTTCTGTAATACAGTTTAGAAAAACACATGGCAATGTGTGAGGAAAAAGTTGGGCCTGTTGGAACCAGAATTAAGCCAAGAGAAACAAGATGGGTACAACAAATGTCAGCTAATCTGGTGGATAGGTCCCCAGCCTGGAGACTCTCTTCCACTACCATATGTACTGGGAAAAGTCCCATAAATACTAGCTGGCGATTGCCATTAATACTATACTATCTGGAATCAGGCCTAGTTAAATCTAGAATACTGAGGGACTTAAGAACTTAGTCACCAAAGCAGCCAACTGCTTGCTGGAGGAAGAGTGCTCTCTTATAAATTCAGAGCTGGTCTTTTGAGTGATCCCAAATTATGACATCAATGGTTGGGGATAATAATGCCCATGAATAGTTGCACCATTTTTATGGGCCTCTACTGAAACTATGACAGGCTCCTGTAGTCGAATACTATGTGGCTAAACATGTGGCACTGGAAGAGAACATTGGAGCCCTTGAGGCTGTCTAAAGGTATAGGGAGGGGGTATGTGACTCCAGCATACAGAGGCCTATGGGCCCAAGTGTGATCCTGAGTCCAAGCTCCATTTCACAAAGGCAATGGTGGCTTACAGGCAGACAAATCAAAGGCCAGAATCATGGCACTGGGATCTAATGACCCCATGGAAATTCTCTGCCTCACATGAGGCAGTGGAGTAATTTGGGGGAGTTAGACATTCTACCACCTGAAAAACTAAAGGTTCTTCCATTTTTTTTATTACTGCAGTTCATTATCTATGGGGTAGGGGCAAAGGAGGACAGCTAAAAGCTCTGACTATCAGCTATAGGGCTCCTCCATACCTGATAAGAGTTTCTGAAGTCTGAAAAGTGATTAAGATTTAAAAACTCTGCCAAGTCCTTCCTTCTCAGTCCTGCTGACCAGCCAGAATACCCCCCTCCCAACTGATGCTTCATTCTTATTTACACTGTGGAAGTAAAGGGTGGGCTGGTTGGAAGTGCTTGCCCCAATGTGCTCTTCTGTGTGGTGAAAAATTCAAGCTGAAAATTTCTCCCTGTGGTGTTGTTTGTTTCAATGTCTTTTTGTTCCAAGGACAAATAAAACTCAATCAGGCAAGACATAAATGTCATTCCTAAAATTCATATTTACAGGAGTCTATAGTAGCAAGAGGCAGCTTTTCCCCATGTACCTGTACCAAGTGCTCTCAGCCCAATGGACTCCACCAAATCTGCGTGAACCTTTGGTAACTAAGCCATTTCCCACCCACCCCAGCCCTGAAACCAAGAAGCCAAGTTCCCTTCACTATATTCCTTTCTCTCTCTTTCCAGTTATCCATGGACCACTCTATTGAGAGCTTGGCTATTCTGGTTGGTGTCAGTTCCCTTGCTCAGTGAGGAATCAGTTAATGAAGTATTTCCATGCCCAATGACTGGGCATGGCAGTCTCATCTGGCAGGCACAGAACTGCCAATCTGAGTGATAAAGAATCATAGTTTGAAAAGTCACTTCATGCTGGAGCACTAGACACTGGTCTCAGCATTCTTTTCAAATATTATGTGGCCTCCTCACTCTCACAGGTAGATCTCTCGTTTGGCAGTTTGGGATGATGGTGTGGTGGCTGTCTGGAAATCTGAGGTCTGGGTGAGAGGGATTTCCTCCATGGGGCAATTCTTGCAGGGCTCATGGCTACTGTTGGAGAAGGCACTGTATGTGGGGAGCAGACGGAGATTAGCCATTTTGCTGTTGCGCTCTTCTGAGAGTCTGGGGCTTCCATTCCCAACTTGTTCTTGACTCCCTCTGTCTTGATAAGGCACAAATGTGGAGAGTTTGAGGGCATTCTTGGGCCGCCGGCTTGGAGAGGACTGACCTGGCATCCAGCAGGTATCAGAATGACCAAACTCTGTGCATTCTCGAGTACAGGTCCCTGTCAAGGCTACATCAGGCAAAGGTCGGAGATCTGTAAATAAGAAACAAGAAAAGGGAAGAATAAACATTCATTCATACATGTATAATGCAACAACATGACTGTTGTGGCCTGCCGGTGGCCAGCGGAGCTGGCAGCAGAATCAGACAGTGAGGAGGTTGGGAAGGAACATGGGCCAATCCTGGGGGCTGGGGAAAGCTCTGACGAGGGCTCTGCATTGGAGGCAGATAGGGAGATATACAACAGCGAGGCAGAGGAACAGCTGTTCCCAGTGTGCGCATGCGCAGAGCTGCCAGAAGACAATAACAACTCAGCAGGGCCAACTTGGGAGTAAAGAGACACCTTGGAGATGGCTTTTGCAGGAAATAATTTGTTCGTTCGGTTGTTTCAAGAGTGGAAAGTTCTGTTCGTGACTCTAAGAGACTCTATGCCAAGTTTTGCCTTACTCTGCATTTGGAAACAAGTTACGTGGCAGCTTGCCAAGCAAGATAAGGTGTCCTGATAAATATTTATTTGAAAAACTGTTTGAACAAGCCTTGCTGACTGTGAATGACAGTAATTCACAATTATGTAAATAGAAGGTTTTGTCGGGACTAAAACTCTGCTTCTTGCTTTTTAAGGGAGTCTAGGTCAGAACAATGACTAGCTAACACTTAAATCTTGGAAAATATATTTAAACAGTAATTTCCTTGTAACTATCATAGAACCACAAAGTTGGAAAAAGCCATATACTGTAGATCATCAACTTAGTGAAGGAATTACTGAAATAAAGGCATTTAAAGCAGATGCCTATTTAGACTCCATATGAAGACATCCAATGACATGACACATTGTACTGCTTTTAGGTTTTTTTTTAGAATAATTGGCTAATATTCTAATAAAGTTAGAATAATCTTTCCTCTAATTTAAATTCATTATTATATATCCCATATGCTGAGAACAGGTTTTGACCTTTTTCTGTGCAACATCCATTCTAAATTTTTAAAGAAATTTTTAAGCAAACTAAAAAAAGTCATGGAAAAAGGGATTGGCATTATAGTGACATGCAAAATATATATTTGTGCTTATGCTCACAGAAGACCCAAACTATGTATGTACCAAATGTAAATTATATGAATTACTAGAAGAAAAAGTAAGGGATCTAGAGGCAACTCTAGCCACTCTGAAACTCAGTGAGCAAAGTGACAAACCCCAACCTAAGCAAGAAGACTACACCAAAATTAAACACAATGTAAACCTTTAATAAAGGGTTGGTGTTGCCAAAAAACCTTTGGATTCCCGGACCATGGTCTGCACTACCTCCATGATGGGCTTTTGGCAAGGGATGGGTACCTCATAAAGGCAAGGTACCTCATAAAGACATAAAGAAGAATGTTTCCAACAAATAACTGGCTCAACTTATCAGGAGGTCTTTAAAATTGAAGGGGGAGGGTGACCAATCTTTAGGATCTCCAGGACCTAATTACAAGCAAAAACCCCTAGAAAAAAAGTCCAATAATGAGGTAAGGAGGGATGGGAAAAAGATAAACTCAATGTTGTGGCCCCGCCCTCTGAGCCTATCCCATCGGAGGAAGAAAGCTCCAAGCATGAGGAAGAGGAGTCAGCCAGGCCTCCCTCTCCAGGCCCCTCCCCTCTGGCACTGTCTCAGGAGCCGGCTGAGGGAGAGGAGATTAGCCGGGAGACAGGTGTCTCAGATGAGAGTGAGGGAGAGACGTCATTCCTGGATGCACGCCTCCGAAGGCGTGATAAACGATTGCAGCAGCTCAGGAGGCGTGCTAGGGATTAGAACTGAGTCACTGGACCACACCCCAGAGACTATATAATAGAGGGTGGTGGCCAGTGATCCCTGTGACGAACAAAAATAAACCTTGGATAGTCACTAAAGCATCGTCCGAAACTGCTGAGAGGAATATTATTTCTGTTGGACTCTTGTACGCTGAGTATATTATCTTTCTGTTTCTGTGGAAATAAAAGCACTTGGCAGACGGTGTGTATATCGCTGCCAAGTTGGAGATAAAGACCTGGGTGTGTGCCAAGTGTTTCCTTAACCCTCGGCTGGCTGTGTTTGTGTGTGTGTGTGGACGGGGACAGATCACTCAAATACCAAATAGGAGACATAGGAAGCATACCCAGAGCCAGACATAAAGACCTCAGGTGCCCAAAGTTTGGGTGAACAAATAGGGTGAACTTGAACTATTAATACATGAGGGTAGATACGATATAGTTGGAATTACAGAAACTTGATGGGACAAAACCTATGACTGGAACATACTGATAGAAGGATACAAACTGTTCCAAAAAACAGACCCCATAAAAGAGGAGGTGGAGTTGCTCAGTATGTAAAGGACCACTACATTGCTATAGAAATGTACGAAACCAAAGACGAAAACCTCCTAGAATGCATACGGGTCAATAGAAATTATGCAAGAAAAAAATAATGACATTGCCATAGGTGTATACTACAGGCCACCCAACCAAGCAGAAGCCAAAAAAGCCAACAGAGGGATACAATCAAGATCAAGTGAGGTACTAATACTACTCTATAAAGCCTTAGTAAGTAAGACCACACCTAGAATACGGCATCCAGTTTTGGTCACCAAACTATAAAAAATATGTTGAGACTCTAGAAAGAGTGAAGAGAAGAGCAACCAAGATGATTAGGGAACTGGAGGCAAAACATACGATGAATGGTTACATGAACTGGACATGGAGAAAAACCAGGGGAGATGTGATAGCAGTCTTCCAATATTTGAGGGGCTACCACAGAGAGGAGGAGGTCAAGTTATTTTCCAAAGCACCTGAAGGCCAGACAAGGAATAATGGATGGAAACTGAACAAGGAGAGATTGGAGAGATTCAACCTGGAAATAAGGAGAATTTTTCTGACAGTGGAAACAATCAACCAATGGAACAGCTTGCCTTCAGAGATTGTGGGAGCTTCATCACTGGAAGCTTTCAAGAAGAGACTGGACCGCCATCTGTCAGAAATGGTGTAGGGTCTCCTGCTTGGATAGGGGGGGGGGTTTGAACTAAATGGCCTACAAGGTCCCTCCAACTCTGTTAATCTGTTAAAACAATAGAGAGCAAAAAGGTTAAAAAAATGACCCCATATATGAACCTAAAGAAGAAAAGTGATACATTGAAACTGAACACAATAGTGGCATCTTGAGAGAAGTTGAAACAGTTTATGTCCAGTTTATGTCTGTAGATATTTTCTCAGCCCTCTTTCTGGTTTGTGCAGTACACAAATCCTCAATGGAAGGCAGGCTGGTTGCAATAGTTTTTTCTGCAGCCCTAATTATTCGTTGAAGTCTGTTTGGTTGCTGTGCCAAACCAGACAATTATAGAGGTACAAATTACAGACTCAATCATTTCTCTGTAGAATTTTATCAGTGGACCATTGGACAATCTGAACTTCCTGAGTTGATACAGGAAGAACATTTTTGTTGTGCCTTTTTAACAATGGTTCTAATGTTAGGTGTCCATTTCAAGTCCTGGGAGTCCTGGGATGCCCAGAAACCTGAAGGTCTCTACTGTTGGTTCTGTGTTGTCTAATATTGTAAGAGATGGTAGAATAGGAGGGTTTCTCCTAAAATATACTATCATCTCTACAGTTTTAAGAGTGTTTAACTGCAGATTGTTCTGGCTACACCAGAGGGCCGGTTGTTCTACCTCCCATTTGTATGCAGACTCATCATCATCTTGAATGAGACCAATGACTGTTGTGTCATCTGCAAACTTCAGTATTTTAACAAAGGGATCCTTTGAAATATAGTCATTGGTACAGACAGAAAAAAATAATGGAAAGAGCACAGAGTCCTGGGGGGCTAAAATCAATGTGATTTTACCTAGTTTTACCTGCTGCTTCCTATCTGTTAAAAAGCTTATAATCCATCTGCAACTGTAGTCAGGCACAGTTAATTGAGCCAGTTTGGAGAGAACGATTTTTGGAATGATGGTGTTGAATGCCAAGCTGAAGTCTACAAAAAGAACCCTTGCATAGGTCTTTGGGGATTCAAGATGTTGTAAGATGTAGGTAATATGGCAGTGCCATATTGAACAACATCTGCCAATCTATTTGCACAATATGCAAATTACATGAGGTCTAGCAGTGGATCCATGATGGCTTTCAGGTGGGCCAGAATTAACCTTTCAAAGGTTTTCATAACTACAAATGTCAGAGCAAGCAGTCTGTAGTCATTCAGCTCCTTGATGGAGTGTTTCTGGGCACTGGGATGATAGTAGAGTGTTTGAAGCAAGAAGAGACAATCGAGGCAAACCTGTAGCTTTAACTTTGCCTCTTCAGTCCAAGATTTCACTGTTTTAACTATCAGTTTTATGATTTCAAGTCTTTGTCTATAAACAGGTACCAGGTGAATCATATAGTGATCAGAGTGTCCCATAGCTCTTCTTGGTAGAGTAAGATAGGCAACTCTTTAGTGTTGAGCAGCAGTGGTCTAAAATATTTTTGCCTCTAGTAAAACAGCTGACATGCTGAGTGTATCTTGGCAGCTCCTGGCTTAGGTTAATGCTGTTAAAATCTCCTATTACAATGAGTAGGGAGTTTCTGTTTAGCCCACATGATTTGGTCAGCTAAGGTTTGCAATGCCTTGTTTATACAAGCTTGGTGTGATGATCCGGGGTGGGCACGGAAGCAATACAGCCAGAGAACAGTTCTAATTCCCCTTTATTACTCTTACACACACCTCCGACAGCCTCTGGCTGCGAGTAGTCCAGCAAGTAAAGTTAACAAGGCAGCAACCAAGGCAAGAAGTCCAGTAAGCAAAGCAGCAACCAAGGCAAGAAGTCCAGCAAGCAAAGTTAACAAGGCAGCAAACAAGGCAAGAACAAAATCCAGACATAGGAAACTGCATGTGAGGCTCCATGGCTTCAACGCTTGTTCCCGGCAAATGCCCCTCCCAACAGCGTCTCTTTAAATCTCATTCCTCAGGTGAGCATTGTGAAGAGGGGCAGGGCGCCCTCCTCCCAAGTCGTCAGGTTGCCCTGCACTGATCCTGCCTTCTCTCCATTCTT